GGATTCTAACGAAAGTTCATGTTTTTTTTTCTTTTTTTTTTCTCCAGTAATCCAGTGGTTATCTCAAGAGATGAAAAAAAGATGCTGTTGGATTTTTATTAGAAACCAAATATGTATATCATTTTTTTTTTTTTTTGAACGGGAGCAAAAGAGAGAGAGAGAGAGAGAGGGGAAGAGGATTTCGTTCGTTTTTTGAATAATAAAAATTTTTATTTTTCATCCGTCTTATTATTATTATTATTATTTTTACGCATAATATTGATAAGAAAATGTTAATAAAACATTAATATTTATTTATCACACGCTATAAAATAATTAATTAAAACTTTTAAAAAAAAAAACCGGAAACGAAAAAATAAAAAAAAAATTGACTATTCCTTTCTCTCTCCCTCTTTCTCTCTCTCAGTCTCTCTCTCTCTCTCATAATTTTAAACGTTTGTTTAATTCATTCCAAAAAAAAATTTTGTCAACGTGAAATCGATGATAACAAGAAAAAACAAACAAACAAACAAACAGGAAATTAAATATAAATAAATAAATAAATAAAATTTAATAACATCCGACGACTTTTCATCTGATTTTGTTATTATTTTAATTTATTTTAATTAAATAAAAAAAAATTATTTGTTTTTATTATTTTTTGTTTTTTCCTTTCTTTCCTTATTTATAATTTAATAATAATAATAATAATAATAATAATAATAATAATAATAATAATAATAATAATAATAGATTAAAACAATTTAAAAATTAACTTATTCAATTTTAATAATAACAAAATTTTTTCGAGTACGAATAAGATGATGATGATGATGCTGATGATGATGATGATGATGATGCTGATGATGATGATGACGCTGATGATGATGATGATGATGAATAATAAAACAAGTCGAGACGTAGAGAAAAAATTTTTTATTTTATTTTATTTAATTTTAAATTTTATTTAAATTGATTTTGATGGATTTAAAATTTTTAATTATATTACTCTTTATCTAATTAATTATTCTCGACATTTTTTCTTTTTACTTTTTTACTTTTTACCTGTTTTTCACATCCAGAATCCAGAATTTTATAACAAAAAAAGAAAAACACATCGACTGAGTAACAATTTTCTTTTTTAAATTTTTTTTTTTGATGCTTGTCTTACGTAAAAAAAAAAAAAAAATTTGATTAGTTTGATTGACATACGTATAAACAATAGAACGATAAGGAAAAATTATTATCATCATCATCATCATTATTATTATTATTATTTAAATTAATTTTAACGAAACGATATTAAATTTATAATAGAAAATTTTTTTGTTTTCCTTCCCTATTTTCATAAATTTAAAGTTTAAAATTTAAAATTTAAAAAAAAAATTATTTATTAATAAAACTTTTTATGA